CATATCTGCTAAGCTGAACTTCACTTAATAAATAAATCAAACTTTTAATGCTAGTTATCCTCCAGAGAAGGAAAATTCTTCCTAGTTGGCAGAAAACATTCATTCAGATCAAGAGTTCTTGGCACTAAGAAAACACTTGATTCTAAATGTTCTTACCATCACCTAAAAAATGTGCATACCAAATAAGAGATTAACAAAAGAGATTAACCATTCCAACCATAAACCCAACCTTTAGAAACAGATGTCTGTGGACCACACATCTGAACAAAAATCTACAAACAAGGGTGTATAGGCAGTGCCCACCAGTGTTTGTTAAAAAGAATCCCTAATAGTGCTGAAGTCATGTTGACGAGCCCAGTTTACGAGACTAATACTAACCACTAGTGCTGCAAAGACCGCACAGTTTTACATTTTCCTGAACATGCTTTTTTACATCTGCTTATGCATCTAGAATGCTAAGTTGTGAAAAAGCGGGCGCAGGATGAGCAGGCTGGGCCACCGACAGGGCAAACTGGTCTGTCACCCTCCCGAGCCTCCTCCTTCCCAAGTTCTGCAGGGAGAGGAAGCAGGTGCAGGTGGCTGTGGTTCCAAATCCTGGAGCAGATCTGGAGCCCCTGCCTTCGGGTTTCTTCATGATGCCCCCACTGCCTTATGTCCCCATGGGGGTCTGGGGATAAAGGTAATGACAAAGGTAGTCTTCCCCATAAGGCGGCCCTCCAGCTCTATGAATTAAAATTCTATGAATTCACATACCGCAGAACACCAAAGGAACCAATTATATCCCAAAGACCCTGAAGATCAAGCTGTTAACGTTCTCTTTTAAAAAGAATGAAAAGATCCCAGATTCTGGGTCTAAGAGAAGAACAAACGCTATCTGACTGAGTCAAGTGTTCATGCCAAAGGCCTGACTTGTGGTGAGACAATCTTATAATGAGGGCCCCTGGCATGTGAGTTAATTGGGGTCCACTGTGAAAGGAGCCCAAGACTTAGTCTCAAACCCAGCTCACTTCTGCTTTGTGGAGAACAGGCAGGTGCCTTCTTAAAAACCATTACAACCCAAGCCACACCTGGAAAACAAACATGTTTCAGCCAACACAAATCCCTGGCAGAAGGCCTTCCAATATCCTTTCTGCAGGTTCAACCCACCAGGTTCAACACGTGGATAATTTTAAAATTAATAGCAACAGCTACCTCATGCTGAGTGCTTGTAGTAGGCGTCATGCAAGTCACCTTTCACTCTCTCTCTCATTCATCATACCCTGACACAGGTTTGCTATTCTTGCCATCCTACAGATAAAGAAACTGAGGCTCAGAAATGAACTAGTTGAGACAACTGGACAGCCACATGCAAAAGAATAAATTTGAACCCTATCTCATACCATATATAAAAATTAACTCAAAATGAATCAAAGACCTAAAGACCTAGGAGCCAAAAGAAAACAGAGGTAAATCTTTGTCACCTTGGATTCTAAGATAGGACACAAAAGCACAATCAACAAAAGAAAAAAAATTAATAACTGCTCTTCACCAGAATTAAAAACCTCTATGCTCCAAAGGACATTATCTAGAAAGTGAAAAGAACATCCATGAAATGGGAAAAGACTTGCACATGATGTATCTGGTAAGGGACCTGTATCTAGAATATATAAGGAACTCTTAACAATTCAACAATAAAAAGACCTTGAACAGACATTTTCCCAAAGGAGACATACAAATGGCCAATAAGCACCTGGAAAGATGCTCAACATCATTAGCCACCAGGGAACATAAAACCACAAGAGGTAATGCCTCACACCCACCAGAACGGCTCCAACAACATGGTGCAGCCACTTGGGAAAACTGTCTGGCAGTTCCTCCCAAAGGTAAACATAGGGTTCACGTGTGCTCCTATAATTCCACTCCTAGGTATATATCCGAGAAAAATTAAAACACACGTCTACACAAAAAAACTGTACACGAATGCTCACAGCAGCATTACTCATAACAACCAAAAGGTAGAAACAACCCAAATGTCCAACAAATGCTGAATGGAAAAACAAAATGTGTTATATCCATATAATGGAATATTACTTGGTCCAGGAAAAGGAATGTAATACTGATGCATGCTACACCATGGATAAAAATACGATGCTAAGTGAAGGAAGCCAGTCACAAAAGGCCACACACTACACGATTCTATTTATATGAAGTGTCCAGAATAAGCAAACACTCAGAGACAGAAAGAAGAGTAGTGGTTGCTTAAGGGAAACAGGGGATTGAGTGACCGCTAAAGAATACAGGGTTTCTTTTTTGAGGTGATGGAGATCTTCTAAAATTGACTATGGTTATACAACCCTAAATATGTTAAAATCCACTGACTTTGTATACCTTAAATGGGTGATTTGTATGGTGTGTGAATTATAACTCCATAAAGCTACTACCAAAAGATTTTTTTTTAAGTGAACTAAGACATTAAGTGAAGGAAACAGGTTCACAACTGGCTCCAACCAAGTCTAGTGCCCAGGCTCTGCATCTACACTGTGCTGCTTTCCAAAGTGCAAACGACAGCTCTCCAGCCACCTGCACAAATCTACACTTAAAGCTTTTCCAACAAAGCAGTGATGGAGCATGAGACACAGGAAAAATGCCTTCAAATAGCTTCTAGTTTTAAAAATAGACCTGTTGTCAGATAGAAGAGACGAGGCCTGCACTCCATATATACATAAAGTTATAATGCATAGTATAGTATATGCCTTGGCTCTTCTGATAATAACCTGTAGTGCAGGACATATTATATCAACTATGACATACAGTATATATTATAATACAGATAATTATCCCAAAGGATGGCCCATAAGAGAGGGTCAGATCACATCCATGGAAACACAGAGATTTATTTCTACTAGAAGAAAAACCCAAACATTCCCCTAAACACTGACTAAAATTATTTCTAGTGAAACAAAATATAGAGTAAAATCCTCAACATTTAATCATTCTGGACATACCCAAAACAAAGTGGGGAAAGTCTTATGATGATGTTCAATTTTTCCATCTTAAATAGGGACTTGACATCCCAGATCTGAGGTTTATTTCTAAGCTAGGGCTTTGCAATGCACATATTCCACTGTAGAAATCTGTTCCTTTAGTGCTGAGGTCTGAAATAAGCCTTCCAGTGTACTAAATCATTAACCTAGGGGAGAACGTACGCCTTGGACCTCATTTTAAAGGGGGGCTCAGTTACTAAAGTTTCCAAAGAGTCTTAAGATCCTACAGCAGTGCATCCTCCCACGGACTGTAGGACCAGACTGTCCTTTTCTGATTCTAGGCCACTACCTCCACCTTGTGGCCGCAGCTAAACGATAGGGGTCCCAGTTCCAGCCCCAGAGTCTCCTTAGGAGCCTGGGAACAAATACAAGGGAGAAGCTGTTTAAATCACTGACAGCCATCACCACGGAGGTCTTGATCAAGTGACAATCTCACAACACCAACCATTGTGAGAATTTCACTTGGTCACCTGGTTAACTCTAAAGTGTTAACTCATACCAATAGCAATTACTTGGTGTGTCAGGGACTTACACAAGAATCTTCAAAGTTTTAACCTGAACAGAACTGGCTACGGCCTATCCTGGAAATTAAACAGGTGAACTTCAGGAAAAAGTGTTTTTAAACCATAGGCAGTGGAGGAGTCTTCTAAATTTAGAAATTGCATCTGAATTCCAAAGGTGAATGGTAAGAATAGATTACTGCGGATATGAATAATAAACAGTCAACCCTTGGCAACTGAATTTTTTTGTTCTCTCACCTGGAAGGAATGAAAAAAATTTGAGGGCCATTATGCACAGTCTTGGAAAACCCAGTGACATTCCACCCTTTGATATTGGTAGATACAAGAATAACAAACACACAAAAGTCAGTTAGATTAGTTTAAAACAAACCCTGACTTCCTCTCAAACCTGACCTTCCCATCATAGTTCCATTCTCGGATACAGTGATGAAATAAGAGCAGTTGGCAGGAACTAAGATGCACAGAAAGATCCTAAAATCGGGATAAATCAGACAACTTTGCGTGAAAGAATTGGCCAAGTCATGAAAATGGGAACTGGGATCCAAATTCCAAACAGCTGGAAGATGCTAATCAGTATTCTGAATTTTACATGGAAACCAGGTAGCAGCAGGCTATGGCCAAGGGAAAACAAATGAGCGTGGGGTAAAGTATCAGGGAGCATCTAGGCCAGAGCTAACAGGCACTTCTGTCTGGCACAGCAGCCTGGATGGACTGATGACGGCTGTCCTCATGCTGTGTGTTGGAGTACAACAACCAGCTGGGACTCCTAAGGCGGGGCCCGGGCTCAAATCCCAACGTCTACCAAGGGCAATGTCCAAGCGGACTGTGTGCTCTTACCCTCCACCTTGTGTACCTTTTTAAGCTTGCCACTCCTGAGTTTAGTTTGTGCTTCTCTGTTTACAAACGGAAAACTTGAGCCCAGAGAAGTTGACACAGCTAATGCAAAATCATACAATTAGTCAGTGGCTGAATCAGGATAAACAACTGAGTCTGTGACGCTGTATCTGGGAAATCTAGATGAGAAAAGACAGGGTTCATATAAGGTTGCTAATAATTCAAAGAAGGAAAGTGTTAACTCCTTGTTCTGAAGAACCCTTGAAAGAAAAGTTTTAGTTCCACAGCCACACTGTCTCAGGAACTACCACAGAAATGATCCTGTGGTTAAAAAAACATTCTTCCCCTTTGCAGCAGGAACCTAACATTTCCTGCCTGTAAATCAGCACATCACAACATATCTCCTGAAACTTGATTAACTGTGGTTAAAGAAAGAGAAAGTGTGAGAGAGTGAGCAGGTGCTATGCAGATCTGCCAGTGTGTACTTCAGAAATGAAGTCTCCACGGGGGAAGAGAAAGTTGGAAAATGTTTTTCACTGGTATTCCTCAGGACATCTTAAAGCTTGAAAGAACAGTTGATGAAATGAGACCAAACAAACAAAAAACGCCTACATATTCTTACCTGTTCTAATGTAAGCTGCTTAGAAATGGTATCATTCTCCAGTTTTTTAATTTTCTTCATCAGTTTGTTGACCTGGAATTCCTGCTCCTGTTCGAGATGCTGTTCTAGTTCAGCTTTCTCATGCTGCAGCTGGAAAAATGAAAAGAACACAGATGTGGAAACCACGACATTCAAAAGCCATGGACACACTGGCTCCAAAAGCTGGTTAAACTGAGTGAGAGAGCATCAGCCAAGTGACATGACTCACTTCTGTTCATGTATCCAAACGTACACCTAGAAACCTGCTCCTAACTGACTCCTCTAACATATAACCAAAAACTGTAGTGTAAAGACATAGACACTTGATCTTAGCCCAAAGGCCGAGAAATGATAGGGCAAATATATCTGAGCATCAAACCACGATCAATCACCAATCTCAATTTTTAAAAATATATAAGTGGTTGTCTCTGTAGGGAAGAATTAGGGATGAGGTAAGGAAGGAAACTTACTTTTCAGCATATATATATATAACCCTTGGTACTTTTAAATTTTTATACCATGGGCATAAAAATTATTAGGTTAAAAAAATTGGAATTTTGCAACTGTCAGTTTTTATTAAACTGCTTACTTGCATTTATACAGTGCGTGTAGAGGGGGAAGAGATGTTACCATCACGAAACATACTTAGTAAATTATTCTGAATGCTATTTCCCAGTGTACTAGCAAGCAGGCTCTGCAAGAATCAGTATGAATAATTAACTTTCTGTAATTTGACCAAACATCACACCTCCTACCTCTTCCCTAAAAACCAAGAGGGAAGGCCACTGATTTATGCAATTAAAAGATAAGGTTATGGTGTCGTTGCAAAAGAAAAAAACGTTTAAACGTACTCCAACCTTCAAAACCATAAGGAAATGAGAGAAACTGAGTGGACACACGACAGCAGGGGCTCTCAGTAATAACTATGCATTATTTCCAAACATTCTCAACTGGGAGGGGTTGTGGATTCACAGGGGGGGATGAAAGGAATGATAGCCACAGGGCCGGGTGTTTTCAGAACCAAGGGGAGATTAAGGTAAAAGCTATTAAAAACAATGAAGCACACATAGTTTGATCTGGGGGTCCAAGATGACACCAGTCCCTAACTCTACCTTCAAAATCCTTTCTTCAGCCAGGCACTGCGTCCCAGGCTTGACACATGCATGAGGCAGGTATGATAACCCCCCATCTCATATGTGACATAACAAGGTACTGGATCAACGTCATTCAGCTGGAGAGCGGCAGAGCTTGGGGCCTAAATCCTGCTCTGAACTCTAAGCCAGAGTTCTCCCACCAGATCTGGAGCAAACCTCAGGGGCTGACTTCAGACTCCTCCATCCCAGAGTGCCTAGTGCACCCTCGCCGTCTGGAAGGTCAAGTGATTAAACATGGCAAACAAGAAGGCACACGTGCTTGCCCAGGGGATGTCACGTCTCTCTGCAAACCTGGCATAGGGGGCGATGGACAGGAGAGAAAGCTCAGCTGGGCCTGCTCAACCTCCAAATGGCTACATCTAACCATCTCCACATTTGAGACAATTTCCACTGCTCTGAAAGCACCATACTTGGTTTAAATTTTTTTTTAAAAAACCTTAAAATCTGACATTGTCTTCCAACACTGGAAATATTGACTAAACAGATGCTGTTTTTCCTCCAACTGTTTTTGATGTGCAACTCTGAAAAAAGCTGGTCAACCTTGCAGGGACCCAGGGAAAAAAAATCAGATGCAAAGAGGTGCTTACAGTGACAAGTCTATTTTTAGCTAGCTCTTTAAAACTCAGGTTCTGCAAGACCAAGCAGTAATTAAAAGAACCAAGAGGAACGGACAGAGAATGAGAAGAGTTCCCAGTAACTCACAGAGAAAAAAATGTGACAATGAGTGTGTATATGTCCATGAATGACTGAAAAATTGTGCTGAACACTGGAATTTGACACAACATTGTAAAATGATTATAAATCAATAAAAAGTGTTAAAAAAAAAAAAAGGAGAGTTCCCAGCATTTATGCCACAAAAGACCCCAATGGAACAGGTAACACTTAGGAGGAAAAAACAGCCAAACATTTGCATCTTCATCTAACACTTATACTCTGTAAACACGAGATGTCTTCTATCTGCAGGTACTATGTTAGAGGCAGTAAAATCTACAGCTAAGATATCCTCACCCTAAAATAGTTTATGAACACTAAGCTTAAATGATATCTACTGGTTTTAGAAAAATGAACTTTAGTCTTAAAATCTTTAAACTATTTGCATATTTTTTATATTAGCTGTGTTCTCCTCCAATATGTTTGCAGTTGCTGCCATTTTTATTTGAAAGAGCCCCCTTCCTCCTTTTTTTAGCGTTATGTTTCTGCCTTGAGGTAAATTAAAACAATAAAGGATGCAATCTAATGCTGAAAACTCTCTTGCCCCCCAAGCAGCATTTGTCACAGAATATTAATCTGAGAAAATGTAAGGTTCTCACTGGCTTAGAGAGAAATACTCATATACAAGCAGATGGTCCAACACTGTCAATATCTGATTAGGTATTTCCTTTAAGAATATAGATTAAATTAGCAATGAAATCCACAAAAGCTCTCAATTTTAAGAGACTTTTTTCCTCTCAAGAGCAGTACCCTAAGGAAAATTTGATGGTTAACCTGTCATTACCAGAACTCAAGTGAGGTCCCTGGGTTACACTAACTCATTTGGAAAATATCAAGCCATTGTGAGATGTAACTGCCCAAGATTCACAGTTCTCATCGTCCCCAAAGGACAGACCTGAAACAAACAGCTCTGCTGCCTGCTTTGTTCTGCCATCTCTCGGGTGACAGGCAATCTAGGGGCAGGGCATGGAGTTTCCCAACAGAACACAAGAAACAGAAAATACGTTTCTTCCTTAGAACAAAGAAACCTCCAATAAAAAGAGAAACATGGTGAGAAATACAGAAATAACCACACCCCCAAAATAATCACGAGGTGAGAGTTAAGAGGAGCAAGGAGAAGGGCACAGAGCAGGGGAAGGCGTCTTGAGAAACCAACAGCCATAGAGTTTGCCTCGTTAACAGTTTGAGAAAAATTCAGAAATCGTTTCTGTTTTAAACAGATACCATGTAAATTCAAGCCATTTGGCCCCAGTGGAGCTTAAACCAACACCCTGAATCCACTTGCTTATTTTAAATGCACTGATTTTGAGGGAGTAGGTGGAGGTAATTAGGTTTACTTATTTATTAAGTTTTTTAATGGAGGTACTGGGGATTGAACCCAGGACCTCATGCATGCTATCTATGCACATAATCTACCACTGAGTTATACCCTCCCCTACTCACCTGCCTATTTCAAAGCTGTATTAACCCATGACACCATACACAAAAACCCTAAAAGGAAGCACAGTTTAGGCTGATCTAGGACTAGCTATCAGAAGCAATGAACTCCAGTTTCATCTCTGAGTAGCATCTTCAATATGGGCACAAAATTCAAGACATGATTTTAAATTTCTCATCAAAGGTCTTAAAACTTTGGGTGATTTTTTATCTTCTAATAAATTGAGATCCTGAACAAGAACAAAAATCATTCAACTAAGAAGTAAATAGTCAAGCAAATTCTATTAATGTGTTTGAAAATAAACTTAGGTGTCTGCCTTAAATATATCTAAAGCAAAATGCTTAGGCAGATTAAAATTTGTTTTAAAAATCAGAATTTTCTATAAATACACCTCTTATAAAGTCAATCTTGGGGAGAAGCTATAGCTCAGTGGTAGAGTATGTGCTTAGCATGCATAGGTCTTGGGTTCAATTCCAAGTACCTCCATTAAAAAATAAGTAAATAAACCTAATTAATCCCCCTCTAAAACCCAAAAAACTCAGTCTCAAAGATTACTCTTATCTGTGCAATATATTGCTAACATAAACCACCAAACAAAAAACCCTAGTAGAATGGCATTTATGGTATACAACAGATGATCCACTGGCAGCACACTGTCAATGGAATTAGGGTTATAAAAATAAATGTCTGCTCCTTAGGAATCACCATGAAAAACGTACTAACATAAGTGGAAAAGCCATAAGCAAAGATATAACTATAAACCTGTAAAATTCGAAGTACTAAAACTTGAGCATTTTCTTATTGTCTCCACTCACATACGAAGTCCCAAAGCAAATTTCCAGTCCATTAAAAAAGTACAAGTGTAGCATTAATTTGATCTAAAACAGGCTAGCCTTAAGCATCATTGAATTACCAATAATTATTGTCTTCCTCATGATTTACAAAAGCTTTCTGGAGCCACTTCAGTGAACCAGGCTTCCAACAAAAGAGATTCAAGGACTCTTCACTGAATGAGTTTTATTCAGGGTAACTCTCTCCAGCAGGTAGAGGGCCTGAGAGCCGTTCACCTGAGAGAAACACCACAGGTGCACACAGAGGTTGGCTGTCGAACCAGGCCACCCACCCGGCACACAGCAGGTTTGGCAAATCCCAGGCCAAGCGAAGTGTGTTTGCAAGTCCGGGCCTGTTGTCAATCCAGCCAGTGCCAAGTGAGGCACACCTTCTGGCCACCTGCCCCAGGGCCCCGCTTTCTCAGTGCAGCTTGAGAATAAACCCAAGACGCCCCCACCTCTGTTTTCACTTGTCAACACTAGTAACTCCCTCTGTGTACTGCCCACGGTTCTGCAACCAGCACCCCCGTTTGCTGACGACTGCCAAGGACCAGAGTTACCCGCACTGGCCTAAGTATAGGCCACTATAGTTCAGCAACTACATTAAATCACTGGACTGTCAGGAACAGCTACCATGTAGTTAATGTGGGCTTTGAGAAAAAGTTCAGAACTCTCTCTCACAACACTGAGTCTCTTAACCAGCTTTTTAACTGCTTTGCTGAGGAGCCTGAGCAGAAAGTCAGCCTCCCACCCCAAACTCAGTGCATCACCACTAAATGCCTCTTGGACCCACACTCATTCCCACCTCCTTCCCCCTTCTGTCACTGGTACCATTATTCTCTGCCAACACCTCACATTTCATCAGTCACCAGGGGGCATTAAGTCAGCCCCCATAACCGCTGTCAAACACACCCTGTTCTTCCTGTGCTCGCCGCCCCAGTCTAGCTCAGGCCTTTTCTTCTTCACTGGGCCGCAGCC